ATGATCCATCCCCCTGATGATAGGGGCAACAATCCAGAAGATAGCCCAGACTCACCGCCGTGAAAACCTCAAATCCTACTAAACGTCTTGAATTTATTGTTCCAGATTAATTCTAAATTAGAATACTGAGGTGGATTAATCATTTATGCCTGAATAAGATGATCGATCTTGAGATAACACTGAAAGTATATAATTTCAAAGTTTGTGATCTAAAAATTCTCTTCCTATTCTTAAAGCAATTTTAATATGGTCTTTAGACTGTGAAGTATAAACGAACACGAAAAGCAATTCTTGTGGACAAGGCACCTTAAAAAAATACGACGTACAAGACAAAGGTAGCGTTGGGAAAATAACATCAAAACATCTCGTATAAAATTTGGAAATGTGGAGTTGACTGGTTGTGCGAAAACTGGGTCAAAACGAGATATTTAGATAGTTTAGAATTAAATGTTCTAACAGAAGGGTGTTAGTTACTTTGGGAATGTTGGAAACATGATACCCGACTTTTTCTTCAGTTTCACAGTGTTTACATAAACTTAGGGGGGTACTGCCCGATGAAACCGCCTGTAATAATGTTTTGATAGCACGCTTTACGGCACAGCCAAAGACACTGCCCCCGGCTTCAGACCTTTTAAAGTTCGCCCAACCCTCAGGATGGGTGTCCAAAAATCAACAGAACAGCTAAAACCAAAGGTGGATCTTAATGGACAAACTCTTAGCACGTGTGTTTGAGAGCAGACGTGTTGTTGGGGCGTATGGCGATAAAAGCTTAAATTGTATTCTGAAACACGAGTCACTACACACACACACAGTAACTGCAAATGAAACCGTGAAGTATGCGGGAATTATTGGATAAATAGCCTTTGGTCTTTGACATCGCACCGTGCAGGTGTAAGGGAGGGGGGGGGGGTTGGAAGTGAAGCTCCACGGACTTTTAGCCTAGACATTAGGCGGAACAGAGTGATCGACTTCCCCTTCCGCTCGATTTATCTAGCGTCGAGGTAAAGAATGCATGAATCTTAACCTCTACTGCACTATACCTTCTCTCGGAGTGATGATCGGAGCTGGAGCACGTTTATCTCACCACGCTGTGTTAGGTGGCCTTATCTGAACAATCATTTCTGCATCCTTAATGTGTGAGCCCCTTAAACCAATTAAATACAAGATACGGTCTCTTCTTGGTACACCAACGGAACAGCACAGCTCGGAAGTCAAGGCGAACGCAGTAACGAACAGTCGTCTATTCCATAGCGATCAAGTTTCCAGATTAACATCGATCAAGTTTTCGACTTGGCGGTAATTGGTTATTATTGCTGTTGCAGTTCTTGATGATGATGATGACGGTCGCGTTATAGACTATTTTTGTTGTCATTAAACAAGAACGACGGACCGGTACTTGGTTGAAGTGCTTACTGTTTCCATCATCAGGGCTATAAACGTCGATCAATATCTGCAGAACGCAACATCCCGGAAGACAGACATCTTCATTCTCGCCGCAAGACGGGACCTCAAATCTCCCAAGGTCAACGACACCCCTGCAACTTAAGCTTATGTGGGCGCTGAGGTAAATATTAGCATCTTCTTAATTCTAGCTCAATATGGAGGTGAGTGGTCAGCTTCACGTTCCGGCCGCTTTAGTACTAAAGAAAGGGGCACCTCCCATGTCTGGAGTTGAAACACTGGCGTGACCTTGACGCAAAGAAGAGGAAGGGGGCTCAGGAACAAATACCCACTATCAATTTCTTACTGAAATTAACTCTGTACGTTAAAAACTATTTTTGTCTT